AATAACCTGCCTTCACAAAACTGCACAAATTATTAAGATTGAAATTTTATCCAACAAGAAATGAATGTATAAACTATAAAATTATAATCAAATTTCAAGATTTATAAAAATGGATTTTCTAAATACACTGTGAATTATAATGAAAATCTCAAATCATAAGACCCTTGAAGTACTTTGTTCCCTAATAACCTGCCTTCACAAAACTGTTGTCATCACCATTTTTATCATTCCTTCAGAGATCAAAATCTTTGTAGTTCACATAAGTTTGTCTTGAAAACATCACTTCTTTTTAATGGTTCATATAGGTGCTTAAATACTGAATCTTGAAAATAACATATCAATGAGAAAAGAGGATTGATGATTCTGAAATCCTGCCCATCATTAAGCAACAATTCAAAGAGCACAACAACAACAACCAAAAAAATCAGAGGAAAATTTCAAATGGAAATCACAACAACAAATTGCAATATAACAGCAAAAATTCGAAGTTAATCAATTCAAAGAGCATAGCAACCAAAGAAATAAGAGGAAAATTCAAATGGAAATCACAGCAACAAATTGCAATATCACAGCAAAAATTCGAAGTTGATCAATTCAAAGAGCACAACAACAGGAACCAAAGAAATCAGAGGAAAATTTCAAATGGAAATCACAGCAAGAAATTTCAATATCACAGCAAAAACTCGAAGTTAATCGATAATTTGTAGAAATCGAGAGCATAAAAGTTTGAAGCGCACCTAGTCAGAAGAAGGTGGTCTTCGGTTCCAAGGTCAGGGGAAAACAACAGATTCCAAGCATAGGGTGGTCACCGGTAGCAGGGGAGCACGGGTCGCTTTCTTTCTTTCTATAGGGCAAAAGTGGAACTAAAGGCATTTTGTCCCAGTCCTTCTAATTTGAAGCTTGGACCGAATCACTCAATTTTGATGGACCGAGTCCACATTTTGGACTGAGTCCTTGACTCTAAAATTTAAATCAAACATGCTAAATTATGTTTTTTGGACCTGGTCCTTCTTTGAACCCAATTAGAAGCTAAATCAAACGACCCCTTAGAAAATTAATATTGGTAAATATAGTTCATTTAATTGGTGAAAATGGTGTTGAGGGGCTAAAATGTCACACAAAGAAACTCAATTTGCCAAGTATCTAGGGTTATGGTGAGTGGAATACAAGGATAAATGTGTGAGGGGGTTAATTGTAAAAATCAAATGTAACAGCCATGGTTTGCGGTAATTTGCGCACTTAGTCCTAACTTATTTTTTTTAACTCAGAAAGTCCCTACTATTTGTTTTTGTTACGCGCTTGGTCCCTAGTATTTGTTTTTGTTATGCTTTTGGTCCTTGTCTTACCTATAAAAAACTATTATTTAAATATGAAAAAATCGTGGGGTAGGTAAGGTAAGGTGAGGGGGTAGGTTTGGGGGTGTATTTATTTAATATAAATTAAAAAATCAAGGCCAAAATAGTCTTTTTTTTTTAGGTAAGATAGGGACCAAGCACATAACAAAAACAAACAATAAGGATCTTACGAGATAAAAAAAAAGTTAGGGATCAAATGCGCAAATTACACTTAACCATAGGGACCATTCGTGTAATTGACTCTTATTAATTCTTTTAGATATTAAATAATATTATTTTTAGTTAATTTATTCTATTTTAACCTCAATAAGATAAAATACTTTGCAAAAATAGTTCGTCGAGTAACGGAACAACTAACGTCGTTTACGATAGCATTCTCAGGTCGTTACAGGTCGTTACAGGACCATCCTGGTCAATCCATACTTTTTGGTGGTGCATTGCTAGAGAATGAAAAGAAAGAAACTTTTCAATTGTTATTTGAGCATTATTTTAAAGTGCATGTTCATCAAATACCCATCTACAATTATAATTGATCAAGATAAATCTATCAGTAATGTGGTAAAAAAGTGTTTCCAAACACTCGACATTGCTACTGTGCATGGCATATTAAGAAGCATGAGCTTGAACATCTTCGACCACTAGTAGCACGTTATAGTAATTTTCAGGAGTCTTATAGACAATGGATAAAAGAGTGATACAATTGAAGAATTTGAATCAGGGTGGGAAGTTATGCTTGGTAATTATAACCTTTAAAATAGTTGTTAGGTAACCAATATGTATAACCAACGAAAACATTAGGTTAAAGCCTACTTAAAAGATGTTTTTTTACCGGCATGACTACACGTGGATGAAGTGAGAGCATCCATTTCTTTATTGATGGGTTTGTTAATTCACAAATTTATGGTCAGACCAAAGTTTGTGACAATCCCAAACAATGGGATCTCACTCTTCGACATGTAGAATTTGTTTACAATCTTATAATTAACCGTTATACGGGAAAGGCTCATTTGAGATTATATATGACAAGAACCCAATCACCCAACTTGAGATAGCTCATATAATTATTATTGATCAACTTAATGGTAAATGTAACAAGCAGTAAAGTCATACTAAGTAGCTTTACCAATCGGTTCGCATGCGAATTGAGAAGTATAATAAAAAGTATGTCGATCGTGTCAATAAATATTGCAATCTATTTTCTTATCATGAAGGTGATCTTATGTGGATTCATTTGAGGCAAAAGAGGTTTCACAACATATGATTTAGCTCCAACCAAGAGTTAGATTGTCCTTTTGGTGTTTTGAAGAAAATCAATGACAATGATTATAGGATCGAGTTGTTGGGTCCTTATAAAGTTTAATCTACGTTTAATGTTGCAGACCTGTCACCTTTCATTGGGGATTTTGATGATGAAGTAGACTCAAGCACGATTTTTCAAGAAGGAGAGGACGATGCAATTGGTACAAGTGTTAATGAATGACTTTATAATGGTTGCACCACTAAGAATGGATGTGTGATTACATCAGCAACAAATTTGTCAAAGTGATTTGGCATCTCGAATACAATGAAATTCGTACACAACATGTACTATGGGTCGATTAACAAAACCCATAGCTTCGTTAAGGTGTGGGGTTTTTGTCGGCCATTTAGGGTCGTTTAGGGCCTTAAAACTCTATTATTTTTTTTTCGAAAACTTTATTTTTTTAAAGTTGATTTAATTAATTGATTAGTGGTTTTAACCTAATTAATTCTGACATCTTAAGCTTAATTAAAGAATTTTATCTTTTCTCCTTATATGTATTTCGTTTCTTTTGTTTTGGAGATAATTTTTCGATTATCAATTAAGAGTCCATTTGAATTTATCTTTTTTATTCTATGAGATCTTGTTTAAGGGCATGAAAGATAACATAAACTTGAAATGCTTTGTAATCTTGGCCATTATTTGTTGCACTGATTTTTTAATTCCAATTACAAGGCATCTCTCTGATTTTGAGTACTCTGTACAAAAAATAAAAATGGGCACTTAAATATAAATTTTTCTATATATGGGCAAAACTCGTTAATATTACAATATGTCAAAAAATGTTAAAATAATTAAAACAAAATAACGATAATATGATATATATATATATATATATATATATATATATATATATATATATATATATATATATATATATATATATATATATATATAGTTACATTAGGGATGAGCAGTTTGTCCCAAATACTGATCCCGTACCGGATAATACCGAATCGTACCGAATCTAAAAATACGGGACGGTACTTGGTACTCCAAATACATGAAATTCGGGAATCGATACCGCCAGTACCGGTACTAGTACCGAAAACCAGTACTATTCTCGGTACCGGTACCAGTGATGTTAATTCGGTTCGGTACTTAGGATTGACTTTCGACCAAATTCGGTTTTTGAAAAATCGGGAATGGTACGGGCCAGTACCGATTCCGTCCAACGCTCATCCCTAAGTTACATAGACTGCAAGGCTCTCTTTACATTCTTAGAAGAATAGTTGATCACCAACTCTTGGTAATCAATATTCTATAATATATCATGATCATGATGTAATTTTAACAACAATCTGAAAATTATAAACATTGTTTTGATCAAATAAGTAATTTCCATAGAATTGTAAAGGAAGTACAACTAAAAGGAACTATAAAATAGGGGAATTAGTCAAATCACTCAAAATATAAATCAAATTTCGCAATGCACTAATATAAAGTCATAAATTCAGTCATTTCTAATACGTATATTATAATGTGGGTTATGTTTGTTAATCAGCAACAACAATCAAAATATAAAAACGAGAGGTAATAAGATTCAAATGTCAGGAAAAGTGGAATACTTATTTAATTATAGTCGACAATCAAAAGGAAAGTGGAAGTGTAATCAGAAATAAGAGAGGTAGGCAGAGTTCAGGGGAATCAAAAAACTAAGAACAAGAAACGTCGTTTGAGCTTTGCAGTTGTCGTAAATTTGGAGTTTTAGAATTGACACAAAACGTGAGCTCTTGCTTGCCGCAAAATTACATTAGCCCATTATTAACCCAAATGGAAATTTTAATTTTAAGCCAAACTTTTAGAATGCAAGTTATTTTAATTTTAAGTTTTTGGGTGAGCTTTTGGAATTTGAACAAAACATGAGTTCTTGTCTTTGGATTACCGGATTGCCTTGCAGTAGACTATCTAGTGAATCATACATAAAATTGGCCCCTCCATGATATGGGCATATGTGCAATGGCCCAACTCGCACACCCTCAAAGATACCGTGACTGCAAATACATATACATTCTATTACTTCTAAATTACACAATCATAGCCATTAATTATCCACACATTCCGTCCACCAAGACTTGAATCCACAATCATAGTCATTAACTGTCCATTGATGATCAGAGTTCTCGTAGTTTGACTATGTATTTTTCTTCAGTTTCAAAATCCTCCCGCTATTCTATTGAAATATAGTTGAAAACTTGAAATAAATTATTAGCTTTTATTTAACAAAAAAGAAGGTAGCACGCATCAGAGTCGGGTGATAGAAATTTGAACATTAATGTCCTTAAACAACTATAAATTTAGCATTCTTGCGTTCCAAATTAAAACAAATACAACACAAACTTAGAATGCCTCAATCAGAAACCTCTTTAACATTTGTAGTCCGGAGACATGTACCGGAACTGATTGCTCCGGCGGTATCCACTCCTCGAGAACTGAAGCCTCTCTCAGACATTGATGATAAGGAAGGGATGCGTCATCAAGTCTCGTCGATTGACATGTATGAAAGGGATCCGAAAATGGGACATATAAATCCGGCGAGTATAATCAGGGATGCGTTGGCGAAGGTGCTTGTGTTCTATTACCCATTTGTTGGCCGCCTAAAAGAAGGTCCGACAAGGAAGCTGATGGTAGACTGCACCAGTGAAGGTGTGTTGTTTATTGAGGCGGAGGCAGATTTTACTTTGAAGCAGTTGGTGAGGCTCTTCATCCGCCATTCCCTTGTTTAGAAGAGCTCCTTTATGATGTTCCTGGCTCTAGTGGCATCATTGACTCGCCATTGCTACTGATTCAGGTGAAGCTTTAAACATATTGCTTGGTTTTTAGTTTCTGTATGAAAAGAAGAAAGTGAAAACAAAACTAATAATAATAATAATAACCAGTAAAGTGGCCCCCGCATTACGGGGGTTAGATGTTTCATTTATACCATCAACACCACCAAAACCCTTTTTATTGTAAGAGCCAAAAGGATTGGAAGAGGATCCGTTATAGGGGTTCGTCTCCTTTGTATGTGTATGTATGCTCCGGTAGTAGACAGAAGAACACGATAAGTCAGGCTGAAATTCGATTTCTAGAGGTGGTAGGAAACACATTTTCTAGCAGTTAGGTTCTTGAGGAGCATGGCTTTTATATGTAAACTGTAACGCCCGTGTTTCTAGGCTTGCCATTTTTAGCAATGTAATAGTCTAGGTTAACCTTGTAACTCAACTTGAAATAATGAGAATGTATTATTTGTGAATTATTTGAATTATGTGATTTATGTGTGTATTTTCTTAATTTTTATAATTTAATAAATTAAGAATAAAATAAGCGTCAAAATTTAAGTGTGAGATAAGCCCGAAATCTTTGCATAAAGTTGTAGTGGTCGAAACAAGGATTCCGGAGATATAAGGAATGCCAAAATCCGAGTTATAACGAAGAAGTTATGACGTGTCGAAGTTTCGAGACAGAACCGGTACGACGCTGAGTGACGTAAAATATGAATTTAAGATAGAGCGATATCTAGCCTTAGCGATCTAAACGAAAGTCGTAGATTTCGTTAAACCGAGAGCATGCATAAAAGGAACGCCCAAATCTGACTTCGTATGAGGAAGTTATGATTTTCTGAAGTTTCGACTTAGTAGTATACAGCCCGAATACTCGATTTGAGATCGAGCGGTTTTTAGCCGAAACAATCTAAATGAGAATCGAAGATCTTGTTGTTAGTAGTGAAGCAATGAAAAGTTAGGCGAGAACGGACGTCAGACGAAGAAGTTATGAATTTATAACGAAGTTTTTCTGTCCCGGCCTTCTAAAAATAAATAATAAAAATAAAATTCAAAATTAGCCGATAGAGTTTAAATGAAAGTTGTAGAGTATGGTCTGACCTTCACGTGGATATAAAGAACGTCGAAAACGGAGCTCGTATGCGAAAGTTACGCAATTTAGAAGTTTGACAAGTCAATTACGCCCCACGTACTCAGTCGGATGCAACTTGTCTGACCAATACTCGAGTGCCCCCAGTCGACGCACGCAGTGACGTCAAAGTACGCCCCGCGTAACCCGAGTACGCCCCGCGTACTGAGTACGCCCCGCGTAATTTGAGTACGCCCCGTGTAATCCCAGACCCAGCAGCCTATAAATAGAACTCGAATTCAGCCATTTTCTCTTGTTCAAACTCTTCCCTCTCTCTAAGTTTTGCCTCGTTTTGCGTGTCGTTTATACCCCAAAGCCCCGGTATCATTCCCGAGCCCCGAAGTAAGATCCGAAGCCTCGAGGATCCCGAAGAGCGTTATTCCCGAGTCGAAACGCTGCCCGCAAGGAGCCCGATTTTGTGAAAATCTTCCAGATCTACGGAGAAACACCTCTTCTGCAAGACGTAGTGTTGCCCGATCATCTTCTGATCAAGTGAGTGTGTAGTTATTTTCATTCCAATGCAATATTATGAAGTATTTCCTATAAAATACGTGTTATGTGTATATACTTGGTTGTTATACATGTGAGTGTATATTCACTCTCTTCTATCTTATAGATCTGATGTATTCTCTATGAAATACGTGTTATGTGTGTATGCCTCATCTGTTATGTGGAATATGTGTTGATTAAAACATGTTATACAGGTTTTTAAACAATGTATAAAAATGTATATTTTTATCTACTAATATGTTGGGTAAAACATGGGTAGGTAATTGGTGTGTAATAAACAGATGAGAGGCCTCGGTGTTATTGGTGTTATTCTAGTCATTCAGCAGAGTATGGATGACGACCACGGACTATTCTAGACTGTCCTGTGGAACACTAGCAGGCTCATTACCTGTAGGTGTTGTGAACGACGTGTTCACCGGTGTACTCTATCCCCCACATGGTTGCCTTTAGGATACTTATTGTTGAGGAAGCCCCTCTGCAGTAATATCCGTCCCGATGAAAATCCTGAAATAGGTTCCTTATAATAGACGTTATTTTTAGGAACGTAAGGTGAGGATAACGGGAATGGGTAATCGGGTTTATTGTTGATTGTTGAAATTAAATATAATTATTGTGGGTTGAAAACCCTATATGCTCACCAGGCTCCCAAGCCTGACCCACTCAGTTGATTTATTTTACAGGAAGTGGCGCAAGAGCTTAAGATGGGCGAACATCAAGTTGTTTTGTTTACAAGTCTGTATATGTATATATTTGTTGAATGACTTGTAATGCTATCGTTTATGCTTTATGATCTGTATCGGAACATGACATCCCGTCTTTTGATTATGAAATGAAATCATATTTCTTTATGAAATGTTTTGATAAATATCTATTTTATCATGTTTTGTTTTTGGGAACAAATTCCGCATCTCTTTTAAAATTAAAAGGATTTACTCTGAAAATTATTTTAAAAAACATAAATGAAACCGGTCTTTTCTGGCCGAGATTTTGGGGATGTCACATAAACTCCACAGCATCTTTAGCTCTTCTTCTCTATTGCTTTCAAATCTGCTTCACTTCACACAATTTGTCACCTTAACTTCACCATTGGGCACTGCATCTGCTACCATAACAAACTGCTATATATATATATATATATATATATATATATATATATATATATATATATATATATATATATATATATAAGAGTTAGAATAGGTAGATGCTACAATGAAAAAGAACTTTATGACCTTCTGGAATCAGTAAGTATATATATATATATATATATATATATATATATATATATATATATATATATATATATATATATATATATATTGAAGCTTTTGGAATGAATTGATTTATTTTTCAACAGAAGAAAAATGCCTATTTATAGGCTGATTATAGAGGATATCCTAGCTGTACAATCAATGTTAATTCCTGTAAATCAGGGATTCTACCTAACATTCAGGGATTTACAATAACTAAGATTATTCAGTAATTAATACACATAAATCTACATTACCCCTCAAGCTGGGTTATGTATGTCAAACATTCCCAGCTTGCATACTAGTTTATCAAAGACATTCCTTGGAAGGGCCTTGGTGAGAATATCAACTATTTGAAGTCTTGATGGAGTATAAATGGTTTGAATTGTAGCATTTTCAATCTTCTCAGTGATGAAATGTCGATCTATCTCAACATGTTTTGTCTTGTCATGATGGACAGGATTCTTAGCAATGTTAATTGCAGCTTGATTATCACAAAACATTTTTATAGAACCTCCTGTAAAGAGTCCTAATTCCACCAGTAGTCTTTTTAGCCAGATTCCTTCACAAATACCTAAAGCCAATGCTCTCAACTCTGATTCTGCTGTACTTCTAGAGACCACAAATTGTTTCTTGCTTCTCCATGTCACTAGATTACCCCAAACATAAGAGCAGTATCCTGAAGTACTCCTTCCATGAGTTGCACCTCCAGCCCAATCTGCATCGGTATAGATGTTAATCTCTTTGGTGCTATTTTTCTTGAATAGTAGACCTTTTCCTGGATTCATCTTGAGGTACCTAAGAATTCTCGTAACAGCCTCCATGTGTTCTTCAGTAGGATTGTTCATAAACTGGCTGACAACACTAACTGCGAAACCAATGTCAGGCCGTGTATGTGATAGGTAGATCAAGCGTCCCATTAATCGTTGGTATCTCCCCTATCTGTAGGTGGGCTATCAATTACTGATCCAACCTTTTTGTTGGAGTCCATAGGAGTTGAGGCTGGTTTGCATCCAAGCATCCCTGTTTCTTTTAGTAAATCTAGGACATACTTATGTTGGGAAATAAAGATACCGAGTTTTGATCGAGCAATTTCCATGCCCAGAAAATATCTAAGATTTCCAAGATCTTTGATCTCGAGTTCCCTAGATAAGAAGTGTTTCAATCTTTCTATCTCTTCCACATAATCACCGGTCAGAATGATGTCATCCACATATACAATTAGGATAGATATCCTTTTATCGGATGAAAATCTGACAAATAAAGTGTGATCCGCTTGACATTGAGTGTACCCATTTTGAATGATTGACTTGGTAAATCTTCCAAACCATGCTCGTTGGGATTGTTTAAGACCATATAGGGACTTCTTGAGTTTCCAAACCTTTTCTCTGTTCAAGGAGTTCTCGAAGCCTGGTGGAATATTCATATAAACTTCTTCTTCAAGGTAACCGTTCAAGAATGCGTTTTTTATGTCGAGTTGATGTAGGGCCCAATCTTTATTTGCAGCAAGGGATAGCAGTACACGAACAATATTAAGCTTAGCAACAGGAGTAAACGTCTCTTGATAGTCAATCCCGTAGGATTGAGTGAAGCCTTTAGCAACAAGGCGAGCTTTAAATCTCTCAATGCTCCCATCAGCCTTGTGTTTAACAGAAAAAACCCACTTGCAACCAATTGTTTTCTTTCCAAGTGGTAAATTGGTAAGTGTCCATGTATTGTTTTTCACCAGAGCATTAATCTCATTTTGTACAGCTTCTTTCCATTGAGAATCAGCCAATGCCTCCTGAATTGTGTGAGGAATTTGTATGCTATCAACAGCAGAGACGAAGGCTTGATAGGATGGTGACAATGTTTTATAGGACACAAAGTTGCCAGTTGGATGTTCTGTACATGCACGAACCCCTTTTCGCAAAGCAATAGGTATATCTAAATCATCGTTGTGATCAACATTATCATGTTTAGAATTACCTGATTGACCTGGTTCAGATTCGTGGTAGTCCTCAAGATGTGTTGTGTGCTCTATGTCTTTGCCTGGTTGCTTCCTTTGTGTATACACAAGAATTTCTTTCTCTTTT